TTATACATGAGATTGTATTATACATGAGATTGTATTATACACGAATAAATATGGTACTTATTTTTGCTTTTTGACTTGAGATGATACTTCATTTTTTACAGAAGTATTTTAAAACTCTAGTATCTATACTTCGGCTTGAGTAATTTCAGTGAATACCTTTGACACCTCTGACTGAAACTTTCAAAAAGTAATTATGATCTGTACCTCCACAAATCATTGAGACAACTATAGAAAACCCTCTAATTCAGCCAGTTTACAGATACTGAGCACATCTGATGTGGAAGTAGACGAGCATCAGCAGGTCTGTCATTGTTAAGTTGTTTTCACATTTCAAACAACCTGACCTCTGTCAGCTGATCTGAGTCTAAAGCCCTGAGGTGAAAGGTGGTGGGAGACGTGCATTCTTTCAAGGAATTTCAGGCCTTTAGTTGATATTATGCTCCCCATCTTAGTATTTATATTAAGTTACTAAAGCATCCATATCTACTCATTTATAGTCCTGAGGCTCATTTTAAAGGGATCCCCGATTAGTCGTAACATTAGACTTTATTTGATGAACAAATATTTTAACTGTAAAATAAAGACTGTAAAAATACTGTAGGCTGTTTAGTTTTTATAATTTTTAAACTAAAATTTTAAAAATGTATTACACGGACGGGGCCATTTTATTTAGACGCAAAGCATTCTGGGAGCAGCTCTTTTGTCCTCCATCTATATTTTCAGTTCCANTTATTTTACAGTTAAAATAAATGTTTATCTAATAAAGTCTAATGTTACAACTAATCAGGGATCCCTTTAATTATCTGTCCTTTCATCAATGTTTTCCTTTTAAAAAAAACCTTCCTGGTTCCACATGCAGGTGAGATGAAGGACCGACTTTTAGACCTGCAGACAGTCTGTACACCTGCTGAGGACCAGGAGCAGCTGGGGCCTGATGGGACCCAGAACCTCATTGCTGAGGATGAGGAGCACCCTGAGCAGCAGGTTGTGGTGTTTCATGGTGAAGATGTAATGGATGACATCTACAAAGAGGCCCAGGTCATGAGGAGGGACATCCAGCTGCTCAAGTTGGACGTGAAGCGTCTGGGGAAGCAGAACACCCGCTTCCTCACATCGGTCAGGCGGTTCAGCAGCATTAAGCGGGACTCCAACGCACTCGGACGGGACATCAAAACCAGAGGGGAGTCCGTCTACACCCGGCTGGAGAAGATGGGGAAGCTGAGCAAACAGATGGAGGAGGAGCACGGCTCCACGTCGGCTTTAGCTCGCATCGTGCGCTCGCAGTACGTGTCTCTGACCAGCGCCTTCCACCAGGCCATGTCCGAGTACAACGAGGCCGAGATGGTCCAGAGGGAGAACTGCAAGACCCGCATCCAGAGGCAGGCAGAGATCATGGGCAAGGAAGTGAGCCGAGAGCAGATAGACGAGATGATCGAGACGGGGAAGTGGAACGTGTTTTCAGACAACCTCCTGCTGGAGGGCAGGACTGCCAGGTCTGCTCTGAACGAGATCGAAAACAGGCACAAGGAGCTGATGGAGCTGGAGGGTCGCATCCGAGACATCCGGGACCTCTTCCTCCAGATGGCTCTGCTGGTGGAGGAGCAGGGCTGCAGGCTGGACAACATCGAAGCAAACGTTGCTGCAACTCAGGACTATGTTGCAAAAGCAACTGTTCAGATGAAGAAGGCCGTGAAATACAAAAAGAACAATCCATGTAAGAAACTCTTCTGCTGCTGCTTCCCGTGCTGCAGATGAGCTTTTTTTTTTCATTTTGAATTAAATTTATTTGTAAATTTACCTGTTAATGATTTCAACAATAATAATAAATAAATTGTGATGCTGTGTGAATAAAAACCATAGACTTAAATATGACTAGACTGAGCCCCGCCATCCCGTCCACAGGTAGTGTCTGTGACATCATGGAGGAGCAGAAACAGACCAAACAGACAACAGCTCACAGCAAACATAGAAACTAATAGATAAACAGCTGAACTGGATCTGTTTCACAGATTATCTGNGTGAAATATATTTATGTTTGTGGTTGTAATGTGACAAAATATGGAAAAGTTCAAGGGGTATGAATACTTTTGCAAACCACTGTAAATGTCTTTAACCAGACTCTTCAGTGACTGAGAACAAAGGACCCCACATTCTTCATTAAATGTGAAAAAAAGGAGAAAAGATAAAGGAATCTGTTTATCTAATGTTTTCTGTCTTATTGCAAAGAATGTCATCTAATCCATTTTTCTTATAGAAAAGAACTAAAAGGACCATAAAAGATTTACTAAGTTTTGCTTAGTTAACTATTCTATAACTGTGTGGTGTTAATTGTTTTGATGAAATGTTTTCCTGAAGAAGATGTGTGTTTTATTCCATGATTTAATCCTTAGAAACCTTAGGACTTGAGTTTTAATTAAATGTGACATTCTTATTTTACTGAGGTAAACAGATGTCTCTCCCTTTAATTAGATGCAAGATAATTAAACTAAAACACTCCCTTTTTCTTTGTCCTGAAGTAAAGTTTTCCCTCCAAAACAGATTTGATTTGTTAAAAACTTTTCCTGTATAAGTTGTAACATTTTGATTGGCCAACTTAAAACCTTGACTCCGCCCATAACAGAGGTTTTAAAAAGCTTAGCGCACTCCCAATCTCTTAGAAGACAAAGAAGGAAGAGAATTGAGAGAAAGAGTTTTTCAACATCAGAAGCCAGAAACAGCTTCCAGAAGCTCAGCAGAGACCCTTCCTGCCCCCCCCTCCCCCCATGGGCTGGTGGGATGAGGTCACTCTGTTTCTCCCGCTGATTGACCGAACAGCTACCGTTTAATATCGGCTCAACATCTGAGTTTGATTTTATAGAAGTTAAATAAGCTAATTGTAATTCATGCGTCGTTGTTAGTTTGTTTTCTCTACAAAGTTGAAATCAAATGAAGAAGTCTTGCAGCCGCCTGGGAGGACCGGACCACGAGTCACCAGGGAGTGACCCCCTTCTCTGACCACGGGACCAGTCGAGTTTATCAGGCAGACCACCTGACATCCAGCTTGTATGAAGAGTCTACCTGGGGGAACGACCCCAGAGATGACCTTCAGTCGCTGACTTCACCTCCTGGTACCCACACGGCGGAGTGGGTCACTCTCAGGAGCTCAGTGAGGAACGGTAACAGGAGGCCACCTGTGCAACAAATCCAGTCATGAAATGTCCTCACTCTAATATTCCAGTCAACTGTCAGCTGGATTATAAAAAATGAAAGTGTTTGAGAACAACAGGAACTCAGTCATGAAGTGGTAGAGCAGGTAAACTGACAGAGCGGGCTCAGAGGATGCTGCAGCAGTTTGAAGAGGTGGTCAACGTTCTGCAGAGTCAATCACTACAGACCTCCAAACTTCATGTGACCTTCAGATTAGCCTAAGAACAGAGCGCCTGCAGAGAGCGTCATGGAATGGGTCTCCATGGTCCAGCAGCTGCATCCAAGACACACATCACCAAGTGCAAAGACACACCACCACTGGACTCTAGAGCAGTGGAGGCGGGGTCTCTGGAGTGACGACCATGCTTCTCCATCAGACAATCTGATGGACGAGTCTGGGTTTGGTGGTTCCAGGAGAACGGTATTTGTCTGACTGCAATGTGCCTAGTGTAAAGTCTGGTGGAGGGGGGATTATGGTGTTGGGTTGTCTTTCAGGAGCTGGGCCTGGCCCCTTAGTTCCAGTGAAAGGACTTCTGAATGCTTCAGCAGACCAAGACATTCTGGACAAACTATGCTCCGAACATGTGGGAACCATTTGTAGCTGGTCTCTTCCAACATGACTGCAGCAGAGCACGAACCAAAGGTCCATGAAGACCTGGATGCTGAGTCTGCTGTGGATGAACTGGACTGGTCTGCACAGAGTCCTGACCTCAACCCCATGTCTAACCCTCACTTTACATTACTTGTGTTTCGTCTCTGCTCCGCTGCAGTCCGACCTCCGCAGCAAACACACGTCCATTATAACCAGTGACAGTGTTTACACTGGCTGCACAGGGCGGTGGTGAGCGGACGGAGACCCGTCAAAATTAGAACAGATCCTATCAAGTCCTAACTGGACTTGAAATGCACACCTGTGACCTGCACAGCGAAGACTGAACGCATGTAGTGTAAATCCAGGGTAACCCTCTAACCCATATCTGTGTGTGTGTGTGTGTGTGTGTGTGTGTGTGTGTGTCCAGGTGGTGCTGTCATCCAGGTGTGAGACAGGTGTTGCAGGGACGTGGGCTCATCGTCACATTTCCCAGAGAGTCAAATAAACTGATAAACCTGCCAGAAGATTACAGCGTCCTGATCAACCAGGCCTCCAGCTTCACGTCAGTACACTCACCTTAACACACACAAACTTGTTTATATATCCTTGTGGGGCCCATCCATTGACTTCCATTCATTTTTTGGTAATTTTATATCCTAACCCTGAGCACCAACCCTAAAACTAACCTCACAGGTACCTACCTGACCCTAAACTAACCTCACAGGTACCTACCTGACCCTAAACTAACCTGAACTCAAGTCACACCTTGGTCCTAAACCCAACCCCCACACCTAAAATCAGCCTCTGAAGTCATGGGGATCAGGCTTTGGTTCCCACGAGGAGCGTTTTCCTGAGAAATGGTCCCACCAGGTAGCAGGAACAAGGGCAGGTAGAAGCCCGAGCCTGGTCCTGACAGGTTGTCAGTCTGCCTCAGTCGTTGTGTTTCTGTGTGACACTAATGACTTCAGCTCTTCTCACACATCAGGCCAGGCTTGTATCAAGTACCTCAAAGTGATACTTGAGTAAAAGTACAAGTATCTTATCATAAAATGACTTTGGTAAAAGTTAGTCTTCTCTAAGAATGTTACTTGAGTAAAAGT